GGCGTTCGGCGTTCGGGGGGGACACCCCGGGGGGGATCCAGGCGTCCAGATGTCTTGGGGGACCCAGGTGTCTGGGTAGGGGGGACCCAGGTGGCTTTGGGGGTCCAGGCAGGAGGGGACCCAGGTATCTGGCTAGGAGGGGACCCAGGCGTCCGGGGGGGACCCAGGCATACGGGTGGGTGGGTCCGAGAGAACGCAGGGGGACCCAGGGGTCCAGAGGGGTTGGGGGACCCGGGTTGGTTTGGGGACCCCAGCAGGTATCTGGCTAGGAGGGGACCCAGGCGTCCGGGGGGGACCCAGGCATACGGGTGGGTGGGTCCGAGAGAACGCAGGGGGACCCAGGGGTCCAGAGGGGTTGGGGGACCCGGGTTGGTTTGGGGACCCCAGCGTCCGGTCGAGGGGACCCAGGCGACCGGCTGGCCCCCTTCCCCCCCCCCCCCACAAGAGCGCCCCCCACCCCGCTGCCCCTCTTCCCCCCCCCCCACAGAAGAGCGCCCGCTACCTCCAGCAAGAGCTGCCGGTGCGCATCGCCCACCGCATCAAGGGCTTCCGCAGCCTCCCCTTCATCATCGGCTGCAACCCCACCATCCTCCACGTGGTGCGTCCATGGGGGGACGGGGACCCAGGCATCCTGGGGGGGGACCCTGGCATCCGGGAGGGGACCCAGGTGTCCAGGGAGGGGACCCCGGCGTCCGGGTGCTGATGCTGTCCCCCCCCAGCACGAGCTGTACATCCGTGCCTTCCAGAAGCTCAGCGAGTTCCCGCCTGTGAGTGTCACCCATGTCCCCATGTCACCTGTGTCTCCGCATCACCCTGTCCTCATGTCACCCCCATCCCTGTGTCACCTTGTCCCTCTGTCACCTCCATCCCCGCGTCACCCCATCCTTGTGTCCCCCCTGCGGCTGACCCCGGTGTCACCCGTGGAGTCACCCATCCTCACGTGGGGGTGACAGGGCGCCGCACCCGCTGTCACCCGTCTCCCCGGTCACCGTGTCATGGTGTCGCGGTGTCCCCGCGTCCCCAGATCCAGGCGCAGGGTGACGAGGCGCGGTACTGCGCGCTGTTGCGGCAGCTGCTGGAGGACCACAAGGACGTGGTGACGCTGTTGGCAGAGGGGCTGCGCGAGTGTCGACGACACATCCAGGTACCAGACGCCGGGGTCCCCTCCCGGACACTGGGGTCCTTTGAGGGCGTAGGGGGGGGTGGCGGGGTCCGTCCCCCCGCCCCCCCCAGACTC